TATTTCAACAATGAAATGTTATAGAAATGCAAAACATAAAACAAGGGAGTAACATGGATCAGATTTCTACCTTTAACATTGACACTGCACATGACAACCTTAAGTCAGCATAGTATAAGAAGATACTGTTAAAGTTGTCCTAGGGAGTAAATTATAACAGCTATGATTTATCATGGGATATAACATTTAGGCTGGTTTACTATACGTTTATATGAGAAATTATGCATATGGTGTTAAAAAATGTGTAAGAAAGCTGGTCTATCACTTTGTGTTGATGTTTCATAAAAGTGCAAAACTAATAATTACCCAACAATAACTTATTAAAATACAGAAAATATCAATCGTCTAATATACGACATATAACTATATAAACATATATATTAATATATCAATTTTTAAAGAAAAAGAATTTCATGAAGACTGATCAACGACAAATACTAAGGGATGGAAATATAAATGTATGCAGTTAAAAAAAACCTAGTGATTAATAACAACCTGGTGCTTGTTAGGCCCATTCTAACACACATAAATTAATCATCTTGCAAAATACTTCTAACCAAACACTGGCAACCTTGCACATATGGTACTACAAACTGCTTTATGGTTCTACAAAGTGTTTTATAAGAACTGATATAAATCCGTATGGAAATCGTTCGTTAACTTTGCTGCTCTTGTTGACAGATAAACATTTAAAGGCTATGAAGGTAACTAATAGCAAGTAATAATTTTACTGTAAGAATGTAGAGTAGATGACAAAACTGATGTAAAGTACATTTTATTGTTCAATAATAGTGATAGCAGTATATGAAGAAAGAAATAACTGGAACTTGTCAAATAATAATGGCTATAATGAGATGAAAATAAAGAATGGTTGAGCATGAGGAAAGAATCTATAGTTTTAAACAACAAAAAAAATGATTGTAAGAAAAGAACATGAAGCAAAGAAGTTTTTTTTTATTATATAAAATAACACCAGTAAAAACAAAGTTATCAATTTGCTTATAAAAGAAAGAAAACAGAACCATTGTTATAATGTCATTTTTGACTTGCTATAGTAAGCATGACTCATCTTTGATATGATATTATATTTTTTAATTATTCTCCAAACTTTACTAGAAAAGAATGTTAAGTATTTTTCCTAATTCAAAGTATCCTAAGACTTCTTGAAATATTAGGAATGTAAACTTGTTTTCCTTAACCAAATTATCATCCAACTTGATGAGAAAAGTTATGAATATATAATGTAGTTTGCCTAATTCAAAATATTCCAGCTTAACTAAGAATTTTACTGAATGTTAAATATTTTTCCTACTTTAATTCCTTCAACTTAACTACAATATTAATGGACAATATTATTTTTTTATCTTCAGTTCTCCACCATGTTTTAGCATGAATTTTATAACCAGCACCACATTTTATCATCTACCATGTAGAAAGCCTGTTATAACCTTCGAACTTTTCTGTAACGCTATGCGTGATAAAAATACTACAATATGTATGACAGAAAGAGAAACATGGTGATTTGATGGATTACTTGTCCACTTAGTAAACACTTCACAACAAAACGAGCAGAAAAAAAATATGTTAACTAAATATCAACTGTAAACTAATAACTGTGTGAAGTTTGGTGATTCTTTGACAGACATAGAGAGAGAATGATGATGTCAATAGAGTAAAATGTATTCTTCAGAAGCCAAATATAGATATATTATGTTAGTCAACTTTGCACTATATACATGTTTTTTATTATTATATTTTTTTTTTACTTTTCCTTAGGTTGTTCTACATAAGTTATTCAATATATATGTGTTTAAGGTATTAGTTAAAATACACTAAAAATAACCTAAATATTGATTGTTGCTGTTTTTTTTTTATCTTAAAACATCCTTCAGTTACATCCAATTCATTAATTCAAGTTTTTTTTTTTAAAAAGAGGAATATTACAACACTTACTTCTTGCTTGCCTTAACAGTTAACACCCAAGGGGGGAAGGTATTATATTTATTACTTACTCCATGCACTCATAAATATTCAACTAACCAAATTGTTACTTAGTTATATTTCAGAGATTGCAAAAAAAGCACAAATATGATAATATACATGTCAAGCACTATAAAACGCCCTTAACAAACCCTGTCATTAGAAATTTCAAGACTCGCTTAAACAGTATTTTAATGTAGATCTTAAGAAATAGTAACACACGTTTAAGGCATGATCTTATTAATGTGATACACCAATGCATGCTCAGCTTTGATATAAAGTACCAGTGACATTAAATAAGAACTACACTCCCTCAACTGGTGATAGTAACTATATAAGCTAAGGTATATACATGTATAAGCAATGAATAGTAAGACTAACTTCTTATGTTTTCTTGTCAATGTGAAATTTCCTCAGCATCATGCATTCTTCTATTAATTTTACTGTTATTATCACTGCCTAAATACAGTGCCTTAATACCTCCCCTAATATAAATGGTATTGATAACTCTAGTTAAAATTTAATCAAATATTAAGATCTTTTTTTTAAAACCTTAAAGTATCTTGATATAAACTTCAATTAATGCTAAAACCTTGAATTAAAATAGTCCAATAAAATCATCAGAATTCAAATATAATTTGCGTTGCAATGTACAGAAATTAAATCCTCAAACCTTGTTCTAAAGACTTGAAAGAAATAATGCTAAAACATTTATATCATTAATATCAGAGATATATGCTAAAACCTTAAAAATACTGCAATTGAAGACTTGAAATAATGCTAAAACTCGTTTATACCTTAACCATTTATAACATGTACTTTATGCTAAGGTTTATGCTAAGACCTTTTGAATTTTTACTTAAAGAAATTAAATAATGCTAAAACCCTTATATCATAATGACTATGATGTTAATTCTAAAACCTTAAATCATCCCCATTACGAAATTCAATTTCACACATTAAATAATCATAACTTAAAGGATTTTCATTTTTACAAGTAAAAGTCTTAAAATTATAATTCAGTGTTCAATTTCAACAAGTGTCTTTATCATTTGAACTACTTGCAAATATAGTAATAATGTGTAGGTTTCAATTTAAAATTGGGATATATACTAGTATATGTATTTCAATATGTAGAATACAAGATGTTGTTCGTGTTTTTCATGTTCTTAACATTTAGAAAGATATATAAATCAGTATCTTTTCTACAGCTACATAAAGGTAAAAAAACACAGACACATTCACAATTGAAATAATCAAGATCCACATTAATCCCGTGTTAAAAACATTTCTTAAAATATCTATTTTTTTTAAAGTTTGAAATATTGTTCTTCTCAGTTTAATTATAGAATAGAGGGTGACACATATTTACAGAGTTGTTTTACACATCATTTTTGAAGGAATAATTTGAACTAAAATGGTACATCTCATGGTTTTTATCTTTTTAAATTTACTGAAGACAGATTATATAGAAAATAGATATGTTGTTTTTTTTCATTACAGATCTCCCGTCACTTAGAGAGATCTTTACCCACTATAGTAATAGAGATCATATCATATCGTATGCAAAATGCAAGACAGTATTGTACTGTAATAGTTAGTAAAAGATTTGCTAGTACTGGCATATTCGTGGAATTTTATAAGTACGGGAATACAACACACAAAATACTGACAAATGTGAGCAGAGTTTCATCGTGAAAGGTCCCTGTATAAAAAGCATCCCACCACAATCCTTTAAATGTCTCATATGTACATACATATCAACAAGCATGCAATACTTCAAGATGTTATTATAAAATATTGCCTAACTTTGTAGCTAAAATTGTACCAGAAAAAAAAACAACAACATAAAATCACTGCTCAAGTTAAAAACAAGATATTTATTATTTATTACATTTACTTTTACTAAAAGAATTACTGTCAAAGAATCAAACAAGTGTAAATTAAAACTCTTTATGTAAGTTTGAGATTTTTCTCAGTCATTTAAGTTTTCAGTATTAGAAAGTCATCTGTTTCTAAGGAAACATTACTACATCTTAATGAAATTCATGCTTCATGTAACTGGATGTACAAACATTGCTGCAAAATTTAAAATATATACAGAAATCTTAAGCTTAGACCAAGTTACTTATTATATCATATATATAAACCAATAAAACCACCAACTTTTGCACACAAAAAAATATATACATACATATAAAAGGAATAAAGCATTTAAACTTTGTCCATTTTAAGAAGAAAAAGATTTCTATAGATATAACAATTGTATATTTAACTTTGTCAGGAAAACAAAAAAAGAAAGTTTAAAATGAGAAAAAGGTTTTAAATCAAGAAATAAATAAAAGAAATAAATGTATTTCTCTTTTAAAAATTAAATACTTAATATAGAAAAGGGAATATTTGACTAAAAAAAGTACGGGAAAAAATTAAAATATCCTTTCAAAAAATTTTATCTAAAAGCCTAAAAGGGTTCGAGAGTTAAAACTATAGGCCTGTAAGGAGATAAAAGGTAAAAGCAAGCATATTTTTTTTTATCAATCAAACTTCAGACGATTTTTACCATACATAGAAGTATGCCTAATTTTCAATATAATAATCAAGAGATAGTCATCCTAGAAAGTCAGTTTAAAAACAGAAGAGAAATTGTCATTTGAAGAACATTTGATAAAACCATGAGATGTTTCAAATATTGAAGTAAAGTAGAAAAGTCAAGAACTGAAATACAATTATAAACCCTTTACCTATAGTGTCAAGATTATATTTTTGGGATTCAATTTAACATTATTACATCTATAGCTTTAATCTTTCTGAATCAAACTGAATTTTCTTTCATAAGCATTTCTTTTTGAAAAACTCGAACTATATTAACAACAGTTAACACTTGTTGATCATTTAGCAAATCTTATCACTCAAAAAAAATAAAAAATTCTTTCAGCTGTTGCATATGTTTAAGATCAGATTTACCCTATGGAACAACTCTGTTTATATGTGTACCCTGAGTCTTACCCTGGAGGACTTACCTGCTTTAAGTCAGCAGGAGGTTTAAACCTGTTGTCATTCTGATTACCACGGAAACTACCACCTTTAACTGCCTGAGGCCTCTTTGACTGGCCCTCCAAATTATATCTAAAAGTAACACACACATATATTATTTTTATCTATTTTTTGTACAGTGGGGCAAAAGGCCCCAGTGGTTAGTCCAAAAACCTGACGAAAAGGAAAAACCAAAAACAACTATGCTTGGATTTTTTCCAAAAATTTAAAAATTTAAAAGGTTTTGGGACCTTTAAAAAAGTACTGAAAAAAAAAGCTCAAAATCTATCTAAAGCTAGATTTTCATAAAGACAAACAATAAAACTATTTCCCAAATTTTACAATAAAGTCTATACAAACTGAATTTTTCAATGAAAACCACAAGATTTTGTATACAAAGATCACATACTGTTCGACAAGAGAAACAGCTTTCTCTCTGGGCAGTTCAATATATTCAATGTAGTCAAAGTTGTCATCATTCTCAGCTGGTAGTTTGAAGTTGGCTTTCATGTCTAACACAGCCTCCTCTGGTACATACTTCCCTGTAAATTCACAAGGTTTTTTTTTTAAAGAGAAGTTCAAATGTTAAATAATAAAAGTTACTATGCATTACGACTGTTCATTTTAACCTTTGAATAGATCTTCAAAACAGAAAAGGTACCTGATTAAGTAGTCTCATTTTTTAATTATATAAAACTGGGCCAACAAAACAAACACAAATTGTCATTTCGAACATTTTAAATGCAAGCAGTAATAAGACGGGCCTATGCAAACATGCAATTTTGTCAGAACCTGACACAGTTGTAGCTTAATAATAACATTTTAACATAAAATAGAGAAAAACAGAATTCCTAAAGAAAGCACAACATAGCAAAATTGAAAATGTTGCAGGCTCGGTTTGATTGAGCCTGTTCATGGATGGCACTATAAAAAGCAAGTTACCGTTCACATGCCCTAGCAATGGCTTAAGCAGAATTCAACATTTTAACAAGAAAATGATGAAATTTTGTATTAAGAAACATCATTAAATTTACAATGAAGCATTCCAAATTCAAAGGAAGTAAAGTTTATTATACAAATCTGGTAAAGCAAAGATTAACTAGAACTATCACTAAATGTGATTAATACCCCCACAAGTCTGCTTCGGAAATGAGGATGTTACAAGTAACCGAATACCTTGTAAAAGAATTGAAACATAGAGTTATGGTTGTGGGCAATTAAAGATAATTGTGGCTCATGTATGTTGCATTTCCTTTCAATGTGGTTGGCCATTGATGAAGTTTAATTGAATTACTCTGTAATAAGTCCAGAAAGACAAAGAAAAAGAACAAAGGGCAATAACTCTATAAATACTGAAGATAGAGTTATAGTTCTTGTGCACTGCACTTCCTCTTATTGTGCTTGACCATTGTATGAAGTTGTTTTGGATTCCAACCAGTACGTTTTAAGTTATGCTCCGGACAAGGAAAAGTATCAAAGGGCAGTAACTCTGTATTTTGTCAAAATGGAGTTATGGCTCTTGTGCACTGCACTTCCTTTGAATGTCCTTGACAACTGTATGAAGTGGTACTGAATTCCAAACAGTAGTTTTCAAGTTATGCTCTGGACAAGGAAAAGTAACAAAGGGCAATAACTCTGTAATTAGTCAAGATGAAGTTATGGTTCTTGGCACTGCACTTCCCCTTATTGTGCTTGACCATTGAATGAAGTTGTTTTGAATTCCAACCAGTAGTTTTCAAGTAATGCTCTGGACAAGGAAAAGTAACAAAGGGCAGTAACTCTGTAATAAGTCAAGATGGTGTTATGGTTCTTATGCACTGCACTTCCTCTCAATGTGCTTGACCATTGGATGAAGTTATAATGAATTCCAACAATAACTTTTCCAGTTATGGTCCGGACAAAAGAAAGCAATGGAAAAGTACAAAGGGCAATAACTCTGTAATTAGTCAAGATGGAGTTATGGTTCTTGTGCACTGCACTTCCCCTTATTGTGCTTGACCATTGTATGAAGTTGTTTTGAATTCCAACCAGTAGTTTTAAAGTCATGCTCTGGACAAGGAAAAGAAACAAAGGGCAGTAACTCTGTAATAAGTCAAAATGGAGTTATGGTTCTTGTGCACTGCACTTCCTCTCAATGTGCTTGACCATTGTATGAAGTTATATAATGAATTCCAACAATTAGTCTTCAAGTTATGGTCCGGACAAAAGAAAGCAATGGAAAAGTAATAAAGGGCAATAACTCTGTAATTACTTTAGATAGAGTTATGGTTCTTATGCACTGCACTTCCTCTCAATGTGCTTGACCATTGTATATAGTTATATTGAATTCCAACCATTAGTCTTCAAGTTATGGTCCGGACAAAAAAAAGAAGGCAATGGAAAAGCAACAAAGGGCAATAACTCTGTAATTACTTTAGATAGAGTTATGGTTCTTGTGCACTGCACTTCCCCTTATTGTGCTGGACAATTGTATGAAGTTGTTTTGAATTCCAACCAGTAGTTTTCAAGTTATGCCACGGACAAGGAAAAGTATCAAAGGGCAATAACTCTGTAATTAGTCAAGATAGAGTTATGTTTCTTACGCACTGCACTTCCTCTCAATGTGCTTGACCATTGTATGTAGTTATATTGAATTCCAACCATTAGTCTTCAAGTTATGCTCCGGACAAGGAAAATGCAACGGACAAAAAAAAAGCAATGGAGAAGCAACAAAGGGCAATAACTCTGTAATTACTTTAGATAAAGTTATGGTTCTTGTGCACTGCACTTCCCCTTATTGTGTTTGACAATTGTATGAAGTTGTTTTGAATTCCAACCAGTAGTTTTCAAGTTATGCCCCGGACAAGGAAAAGTAACAAAGGGCAATAACTCTGTAATTAGTCATGATAGAGTTATGGTTCTTGTGCACTGCACTTCCTCTCAATGTGCTTGACCATTGTATGTAGTTATATTGAATTCCAACCATTAGTTTTCAAGTTATGCTCCGGACAAGGAAAATGCAACGGACGTCTGGACCGACCGACCGACCAACCAACCGACCGACCGACCACCGGGTGACTCCTATATACCCCCCCAAACTTCGTTTTTGGGGGTATAATGAGTAAAACATTGTGATCACACCATACCGTCTTCATAGGTGCGTTTATCAGATCTCCTCTTCAGCTCACCGTCATCTGGTACTAATATGGCTGCTCGACGTATAAAACCTTTAAAATTTCTCATTTTCCTCCGTCTCGCTGATGGATACACATTTGTTTGATCTAGTATCAAATTCCTCTTCTTTTTGCTAGCTGTGAACATAAAAGAAAGCGTGTGTATTCTACAGAAATATTATGATACTTGATTTATTGACATCAAATGGAATGTTTCCATATCTTTCTTTACTTATAACATAAAATTGAGTCTACTGTTTTTTTGGTGGCTTTTTTGAAAAATTTATTCTCAAATTTTGTAGTATTAACAATAAACACATGTTTAATGACACATATAATGCTGTGCAAACAAGGACTAATTTTACTTATTAATTTCGAATAATATCTTTTTACTTTAAAGTTTACCTCTATAGTAACACGCATCCTTTTTTAAGGAACTCTAAAATTCTTTATAACTGCTTACCAATTTCAAATAATTTGTTAAGACATTTTGAAGCTTTGTCGATGAGGACGTCCCATCGCCCATGATAGTTGTTCTTTCTTGGCAGACCCATTACTTTCATCTTGTCAATCAGAGTATCTGTGCCTATAATATTGTATCTCATTTCTGGGTTAGTCTTTGCTTTATTTATACCCCAAGTGGTCTTTCCTGACCCTGGCAGGCCAATAATCATTATCATCTGAAATATATATTTGTGGAAATTAGTCAGAATTTGTTAAAACAGATTTGAACATCTTGTTACAATAGAATTATTTAAAATACATTAACTTAATTTTTTTTTATTTCTTGAAGTGAAATACATGTATATATTACTATAGGATCCAATAAAATTAAAAAAAAAAAGCAGTTAAATAAGAAATAGTTAGAGCATTTAAAATATAAATAAGTTTTGTCGATTTAAAAGACTTGGCTAATAATAGACTTTTGTTCAATTATAATAAAAGATGTCAATAAATAACAAATTTTGTTGGAAATTCACATTTGTCCAATGATAAAACATTGTCCATTAATAACAAGTTTTAAAGATACCTACCTCACATGAGGATTTTGTAGATGGAGGTTTTAATCCTCGGACCCTCTCATTCACCGGAAATTGCATGATATACATGAAACCTGGAGCTGGCGGAAACCATGGAGCCTGTTGACCAAAGTTTACCTCAAACCTGAATATAACAAATTGTATCTTATCACTTTCTCAAGATAAAAAACTTAATAAACAAACAACACCTCAGTGATTACCTAGCCAGCTTATCCTTTAGCACATCAATCCCATTCTAAATTATTTTTCTAAAAGACAAAAATCACTTGTTAATAACAGATGAATATAGAAAACTGAAATCTTTATATTTGTTTAAAGAAAAAAGAATCTCAAAAATACCTTATATTTTTTGTAAGAATGTGAGGAAACAGTGAAGTTTCCTTTTTTCCAACTTGAAATCCATGTAATGGCTGCGCTACACCAAGCCAGCGTCCATTCTTGGCATATGACATGTTTGGTGGTCTTGAGTCGAGGTCAAGAAGACACCCAATCACATCACCAATACCAAATTTTTCACCATAGTTAACAAATTTGTTGCTGGTGGCAAACTTTCCTGTACCACCATACCCATAGGAATTGGGCTCTTCACCTATAAATACAGAACATTTGTTAAAAAGAATAACCATCATTTTAATGTGTATAAAGCTTAAACTGGCAAAACATATTTTTTTATTTTCAAAAACTATACAATCAAATTGTTTTTAAATTCTTATGACCATACCTGGTGATGGATTTATTAAACAAGAGCATTGTATGCAGTGTAACACTTGTCTGTTTAGAGCAATGGATATAAATAACCAATTCTTACAATAATTCAAAGTCAAAAAGGGCCATAACTCCAAAAATAAAGCTTTAAGAATTATGCCCTTTACCTAACAACCGCACCTTGTCATGATTAGCAAGTATTCCAAGTTTCATGTTGATTATCTTTTTAAATGTTTGAATAATGGGCTACATTCAAGTTTTTGCATGACGACACTGCAGCAATCATAATAGTTTGACCTTTTTGCTAAACAGACATGCAAAAAAATTGACTTGTTTGCTCAACGAAGCATTTAGCAAACGAAACATTATACAAATGTTCATACAACAAAGTATTAGAATTCAAATAACATACCCAGCTGAAAAGATGTGGTATCCATTGACCAACCAACTCTGACAATATGTGGATTAGTCTCTTGATGATCCTCACCAAAGTCTACAGGTAACGCTTCTGTCAGCTTACACTCGTAATATGCCTGCAAGTGTATTAACATTACATGTATACCGACATTATTTTTCTCTAAACAAAACCCTTATGTATGAATTTGTTATCATTTGTAAATAGTGTATTTAAAGTAATCACATAAGAAATTGTCAAGACAAAAATCATCAAATCTTTCATATTTCAAAGTTTTTCCCCCAATATTGGACACTGGTTTTGACAGTGCACTTTCATTCAGTGATTGATGCACCAGTATTTAAGTTTTATGGAAAAACTTTACCTTCCCCCTCGACACTCCATGTGTACACCTTACACCTGACCAACAGAAGCAGAATCCTGGTGGATCAACTAACGGCTGGGCATCGTATCCATTCTCATCAATAACGAGATTCAAGTCCGAATTATAGTCATCAAGCATGACAACACTGTCCTCTCCACTTGTGTCCTGTTCTTGTTGTAACTGTGCTTGTTGTAACTGTGCCTGTTCCATTGCATATGCCCCATACCTGAGATTCAAATTATGATCTTAGTGTCCTCCAATAATTAATTAAAATTATCAAAAAGAAATCATAAAATAACTTTTATCACATACATTATCAGATAATATTCCATTGCCTAACAGTTAAACCTAAATATTATGTTTTTATCTTTTATCTAAACCGGGTATTCAAAAGTTATTGCATTAAGATTGAAATAAATCAACTGCATTTAAATATGCTTAAAAATAATAGACTCAATTTACCTGATATTATATAAACACTGATCCTACTTCCAATATTGGTACTATAGCGATCACTCACAGAAAGAAAAATGTGACAACAAAACTATACCCTGCTACATGCAATCCCTGCATTGTTTGAGCTGCTAATTCTTGTTGTATTTTCTTCTTATTATCGGGTGTTGTAGAAGCTGGAGGAGGTGTGGCCTGTGTAGGTATGGCCTGCTGCAAACCTTGTGGCAAACCTTGCTGCAAGCCAGCAACCTGCAACCCAGCCAAACCGCTAGCTTGTAGTTGACTTCCGTACTGGGCAAGGTGTGAGGCTGGAATTCCAGCTGCCATCTGCTGAGCTTGTAGACCAGCTAGCTGGGCATTGGCCAGATTTGCTACCTGCTGGCTGTAGGCACTAGGCGGGAGTCCTGAACCCAGCTGTGCTGCTTGTGCTTGTGCCTGAGTGACTACTTGGGCTCCTGCATGAGGATGTGACCATTCTGGATTAAAAGTATCTTGACATTTAAACAAAAACCTAACTCTAATACTATGGCATCATGACCACATGCTGACTTGGTGGAAAAAAACAAAGTTTATTTAAACTATAGAAATTGTATATCTTTAAGCACAAAAAATATGCATTTGTAAGTCTTTTTCAGGATCAAAACACAATAATTTTGCAATTCTACCAAAAAAATCTACCTGTAAGACCTGGATACTGTCCTCCAGCTGCAGCCAGTTGGCCTGCTGTCATCATCGGACTTGCACTTGATACCAACCCAGCCATGGCGCCACTAGTAAATTGCATTCCAGGTAAACCTGGCATACCCGGTATTCCCGGAACGCCATACTGTGCTGCTAAGTAACTTGCTGGAATCCCTGAAAAATATAATGGAAGTATACAATAATATGGAGAGGCAGAATATTTCTGTAATAGAACATTTTTGTCTGTCAAGATACAAAAATATAACAAAAATTTATCAGTAAAATTTTTAATAAATTTTTATTTTAATGAGTACCTGCTGCTGCTCCTGGAATTTGTTGTGGCAAACTGGTTGCCATGCTCATTATACCTGGAGTGGTTGCTGTAGATACAGATGATGTTGAGGCTTGTGATGGAGACTGCACGGCAGCCAGTGGTGATGGTGAGGCAGCCAGATGACCAGCAGATATCATCTGTGGTTGGGCTAATGATACTGGCAATCCCTACAAAACAGATATATTCAATGATTATACATCTTACAATGAGTTTGCTTCTTTTTGAAAAAAAGAATCACAAACTTCCGTCTAAAATGTTTACTAACATCTTATACATACATTGTTAAGAAGAGCTGTCACGGTAAAAAGGAATAAGTAAAGCAGACAAGAACTGAAGGAAACCCATACACTCATGAGGGTTTGACACAATACCACAACAGAGAAAAAAAAGCTCTTGACAAACAAGACATCTGACTATATGTTTGAAATTTATCGGACTAAAACTCTAAATAATTTTGCTCCAATCGAAACATTAAGCTTAACTATTTGATGACTACCACTTCAGTTAACTTAAGGTTGCATTTAATTCAGACTAGTGGTTATAGTGATTTCTAGCAGACAAAATTTTAATGGATGGCCGATATATGGACATAGATCAGGGCCAAAAAACCCTTCTTTGTAGAGGCCGAATATAGGGTGCTTCCCCAACAAAACTAGCCTCTTTTTTTCCCCAGTTTTGTCCTCAAAATTCCCCAGTATTTTGAAATTTCCCATAGAATTTAGAACAAAATTAAATGATGGTGTTCAATTAAGGTCTTTTACTGCCTTATTAGTATTTCCCAGTGCTTTTTGCTTTTCTATTTTGAAGAACTTGTTAAAAGCTTGAGTTAAATTTGATACCCCTTTTCCCAAAGTTTGCCAAAGTCACGTATATTTTCCCCAAGAAAAAGGCCCAGGCCCCTTCCCCAAAAATGGTGTTTTGGCCCTGTAGATGCAAAACTAAGCTGGATTTGAAGGTTTCATTCAAATCAGACCAGTGGTCTTGTAGTCCTAAAGGACAGACAATTTTCTTGACTGACGACATACAGATGGACAATGGGATCACTATATGCCTCCCTTAGGTTATATGAAATTTTTTTCATGTTTGTTTTACTTCTGTTTTTAGCTAGATGTAGAATTACAAACAAATTGAAAAATAATCAAGTTAATACCTGTAGACCTTGTACTCCTGGTACACCAGCGGCCATGTATGGTTGGGCAGCGGCTGCTGGTAAACCACCAGCAGATGGAAGTCTTACAGCCATCATGTACTGCTGACCACCTATCTGTTGAGGCATCATCATCGGTAGCAAGCCACCTGGTATGTGTGGATTCATCTTGAAATTTCTGCATAAAAAGATATTATATAGAGGTAAGACCAAATGTGTTCATTAACAAATATCAAAAACATTAGCTTTCCATCTTGCAATATCTATATAGATTCCAGAATTCTTTATTTTGGGAAGGATTGAAATGATTTCTTGCTGAACAGTGTTTCAGAGCTGACAATTTGATTCTTGATTTGTCATGGTCGTATTTTTATTCCATTCATTGTTATTATTTTCACAGAAATACCTCTTTTGCCCCCCCCCCACCCCCCCTGCCCTGCAAAGATTTTTAAAAGGCAGACATGTAATGCAATATATTAAATGTTTTAGGGCAGAAACTGTTAATATGTTTATGTTAAATAAAAACTAAATTGATGTGTGTTTCGATGCAGTTTGTATAATTATATAATTATGTGGTTTGTATTATGCATTTTTCAACGGTAGCACAGATTTATATAACATGTAATATAAATCCGTAACGGTAGTTAGCAGCAAATAAGGATATATATGTACTTGATGTAGCGGGTTGTAATAGAATGCGAAATGGACTCCATTTCGCGAAATGAACTTACCGCCTACGAAATGGACATTTGTTTGTTTAACCATGATGAGTAATATTATTTTTATTAATTTATGTTATAACATATGACATAAAACTACAGATTGAACCAGTTAAAATTACTATTTTCCTATTTTATAGTCATATTTCTGAAAATAATCTGGCCTCTACGAAATGGAGTTTTCGGCCACGAAATGGAGTTTTTGCTTACGCAGTGATTTTTTTTCCAATTTTCAAAACAACCTGTGGCTTTCTGAAGGGGAAAATATAGCGCGATAAATCAATAAAGGGGGAAATCAAATTCCAACAACTGAGAGTGGAATTTACCCACACAATTTATAAAATTTTTAATTTCAATTCATTTATCTTGCATGGTACATAGCAGAGGCTATAGGGATTCTAGCTGATATAATAAGTCAGATACTGTTAAGTAATGGTTCTGGTGAAGTGCACAGGGCATTACAGGGGAAAATATTAGCTTTTTTAGGGGAAAATATACCTATTTTTAGCTAGGGGAAACAGCCTTTATTCGGCTGTAAAATACAGGGGAAAAATTCACTGTTACGGAATGGACATTTGCTCTACAAATTATGGTGTAACTGACATGTCACAAAGGGTATCTTTTCTATTCACTTACGTTTATTCTGGGACGACAAAAATATTTTTGTCCCAGGTTAAACATATGATATAATATAAAACAGAATCTTTCTATTTGAAAGACCATGTATAAAACACTGAACTATGTGGCATTATTATACGATTATTTTCAAATGTAAAAGCATAAATAATGAAAAAAATATTAACAAAATTGTTTAAATCGTAATTATATGTCATATATCACTTGTTCATTATTAAAAATGATATTAAATAGTACACTTAAACCAAAATTAAAGAGACAAATGTCCATTTCGTAGTCGAAAAGTTCATTTCGCGAAATGGAGTCCATTTCGCATTCTATTACTACCGTGATGTAGCAGTATCAATGGCTTACAGACACTTCACCCCCCAGACACTTCACCCTAGACCCTTTTTTGCAGACACTTCACCCCTCAGACAGTTCACCCCTCATTTTAAGAAATTTGATTGAGACACTTCACCCCTCATTTTTTTTATTTTGTGTTTAACAATTATTTATGTAGATTATGTTAAATACATTCAATAGTGATTATTTTTATTGTTTTAACCCATTGTCTAATAAATTTTGAGTTGATTTAATTCTTGAAGTTTTGGTACTTAAGTTTGTTTTCAGTTTGATCCTTACCATATAATAAACATTGAGTTACCGTATGTTCATTTGGTGATGGTTTGTGCTTTAACCTTGTGCTTAATTTACATAACTGGTGCTATTTATTTGTTTAATAAATGACATTATGAATGATCTTTGTATTAAATGCAGGATAATTGTGTCTGATAATGATGATAAATAATTTATATTTACTATATTTTATAAAGCAACCGATTCATTCATTCATATTCATTTATATTCATTAATAATCATTTAATTTATTTATTTATTTGATTTATAATATTTATTATGAATAAATTTAATTTTCATACAATTGTACCATTTTAATTCAATTATCTAATCAATTGTGAGATAACCGTTGAAAAACAACTAATCAACATGTTGAATAAACAAGGTGACATGCAATAAACACTTAATGGATGAAAGTGCTGTGATATATCATTTGGCAATACAACCAATTAACCTAAATCTGCTTTAAACTTAGTAAAAATAAAGGTAATAAGCAAAATTTTTAATCAAATAATACTAAAAATAATAAAAATAAACATATATAAGCATTTTATTTACTTTATAGAAAAAAATTGGATGAGGGGTGATGTGTCTTACTGATTTTGGGGGGGGTGAAGTGTCTTCAAAATGTGAGGGGTGAAGTGTCTGGGGGGTGAGGTGTCTTGCTACCGTATCAAATAAAGTGCAAAGGTGTTAAACATGGTTTGCAAACTGAGAATTTATGTGTGCTTATGTACATACTTGTCAACAATGGGCTCCTTGTATAAAAATCTTTAAGGGGGGGGGGGGGGGTTCGCCGCCTTGGCAACTACTTAGCAGGGCAATTGTCCCCTCTTACATTATGGGGGGGGGGGGGGGTAAGTCTCCGTTTATCAGATTTTAACCAGATTTTGAACATTTTGATATAAGAGTCCGTATATAGGAGAACCTGAATATTATGCTAATGTTTAACTAAAATAACTACTGCCAATTTTTGAATCAAACGAAACACGTAATCGAGCATAAAATGGTAAGAAATCGGTAAGCAAAACATGCCCAAAACTAGTTTTGGACTAAAAAAATTTTCTTAACGTGTTGATCGAAATAATGGGGTTAATTCTATTCAAATCGTAATCGGACATATACATCCATAATAAATCTTACATTTGTACAGTTGTGTCTACATTAACGATTCATTTTTTGGAATTTAATTATTTTTACAAAAATGGCGTCTTTCGCCGTTCTTCACAGGAAGTTTGGGATTCGCCTAAAGAGAGAAAAGATCTTATAATACACGAAAAGGTCTTTCTTAAACGTACGAAAAGGACCCGTTGAAATTATGATTGATAGAAGACCACCTTTTATCAGTGTTCCGTTAAGGTTTTTTACTTTTTGTCAAAGCCACTCAAATTATAACGAGTGCAAAATTTTTGACGATGCAATGCAGATGATAAAACACTGATTTACCTCCCATTTTCCTAAATTTCTTTTTATTAGTCGCCGGTAAAAACCGGCGACTATATTTGTTATAGTTTTAATATTATACCTATGGTAGGAGAAGCCCTTAAAATCTGAAAATAAAAGCATACCAATAATTGAACAATTAACAACAACAATTATTTTTCAGTAATCTCAAAAAATCAAACATATGATAACTTTGCTCAATGAAATGAAATATGCACATATTGACATCTTAAAAAGCAACATTACAATTTTCATAAAATGAATCAATAACGTATCCCCAAGGATCAGTCATTGAATATTAGTGTAACTTTTACTTTTTTCTATGTGTCAAGCATTGCTATTTTATAATATATAAATCATGAATGATATTTGAAATGACACTTTAGAATTATTTGGTTGTTTATATTTTATGAGAACTATTATATATTACATTATTTTATCTAATTATCAAAAAAAAAAAAAATGTACGCGTGTGGTTGTTCTTTTTGGATTCATATCTAATTATCAACAAATTCTCCCTGGTCTTTCGTAAGAATCACGTGACTACATGTTTATATAAGTTGTATATCGTTATAAAATCTATTAATAGTAACAGATTGCTGATAAGACAGGTTGGCAAAAGGTGTGGTAACTGATAAGATACAATTCATTGTAATTTTGTACAGATTATTACATAAGTTATTTTTCATTAATCAGTTTCATACTTTATATCATTAGAAAAACCTGTTTACTCATATTTTACACGTTAAAAACAAATTTTCAAAACATTTCCTTTCTTCTTGGTAAAGGGTTTAATTTGGCCCTTTCTGTCAAACTTTCGACAAGAAAGTTCAATTGTTAAGTTAAGGTTGAACATCCCAAAATAATGTTATGCTTAAGAGGCACATTATTGAAATATATAGTAGTAATCGTTGATTTCGGTATATTACGTCGGTTTCCGTCACGCAGGTTTCCAAAACGGTATGACGTTAGGGGTCCGAAATCGTATTAGATACATAGAAAAAAATAATAAACTATCTTTGTGTTGATAGTTAATCGCACTGAAAGGCAATTAAACGTTAATTTTATATATCGTATGTAACGATGGGAATACATGTATTGATTTCAACTAAATTATATATTTTTTCTATAGCACATAATTATGATGTACAACACTTTTACAGTAAAATTGTATTGTTTCATGAAATAATATTTTCATAGTCACTTTGCAAATATTCGATGATCGGTAATTATTTGTCGGTAATTATCTGAATCTGAACTAGTAACCTAAACGGATTTCAATGTATGGTACAACAGTATCTTTGTTTAAAGTACAATTACAAGAAGAATTACTCAACTCATTGTTAATTCTTCTTATTTTTATACTTGAGCCATTAAACTTATATTTTCTTATATTTATGATAATACAATCATTTTTCTATCCGGCGACTTGATGCTTTAGCATCAAAGTCTCTACTTGTATATAACTGTACTCATATACATGTCAACATGATACAATGCGTCCAAGTCAACCGTTGCCCCAAGTAACATTTTCTAAATGTTGAAAGTTTCATGAAACCGAGCACTATCGTGGGAACGCAAATAACTAAAAACTTTGCGGTTTATTTTTATTCGGGGAAGTGTTATATTTTTCAGTTTTTGTAATCACATTTCGCTTTATCTGCACTTTTTTAATGGACTATATTGTATATAGGGAGAGAATATATTGATAGAGCACTTCAGGGACTTGGACGACTTCTATACGTAGATCTACATCCAGCAGCAATTGTGTGAAATACCTAAATAACGCTTGATTGGCCAGTATAGTATAAATTTATGACGTTGACGTCTGTAATGCTAAGTTCACTAAGAAAAGATCAGGATCAGGTTCAAATGATCCTGATTTTAAATTCATAGATTTAGAAAACTAAAATAGATCGTATTTTGCTAGAATTAAATGATACATAAACAAAATGTTAACAATTGCTGATTTGCAAAGAAACAATCCCGTTTTGGGAAAAAAATCAACGTATAACAAAACAGATAAAAAAAGAAACAATCGATCAATTTTAGGATCAAGATCAATATCTTGAATATTTGGATCAATTGTAAAATGACCTTTGTATTTTTCATTTATTTTTTTGATTTTTGATTTTGGAAAAACTCTTCTTCAAGTCCAATTTTATCAAGTATTTATTAAATATTGTTTCAGATTCCAAATGTTCGTACTGGTTCTTATTACCAGAGACCTGTGCACAGAGCTATATAATTAAAAGTAAAAATAATCTTAGAACTACGTTCCCTAGTAATCAATGGTCAGATAATTTAGAAAATGAAATTTTAAATTTATTTTGTTAGAGGGCGTTTCCTGCATTTTGGTTGGTAGGAATAATGATAATATGCAACTGCAAGATTTGCCGCTTTTACGTCTAGAAGAGTTTGAGACGAATTCGATAGTATAAAAATATCATTTTAGAAAAAAAAGGTGGAGATAGAATACTCAAAAAATTAATTTAAATTAAGCGACGACATTTCCATAAACAAATCAATACGGTACTTCTTATATACTGAGTATATTGTAAATCGGAATTTGAATCTCAAATATTGAAGTTTACATGAATACTCAATTCGGTGTTTGGAGCTTACGAGATGTTGTTCTTTTGTTTAAAGAATCTGCTAAGATAATTGACTGCACTATTTCATTTTTATTTGTTTGGGTCGTCAGACCAAACAAATAATGGTAGCGAAATTTCAGAGTCTAATGTTCTTAATTGCAAATGCCGAAAGTAGTCCACTTTTTTGAAGCGGTTACTTCCCTTTTGTATGTACACTAAAGCCGAAAAATTCAGGGGAGATCACTGCGTAAAGATGGTCAAAGACAGGCGCATCAATTTTCAAGCAAAGTAATTCCCGAATGGTCGAAGATTTCTAATATTGTTTTCTGGTATTTTCTGATCGAAAATAACTAAATACAAAGCGGACATTCAATCTCTGACACAGAAGTTTATGACAAACCTAACAACAAGTAGTTCTCAAAACAGCTTAAAACTAGCGATTTAAAAGAAGAAATATTTTATTTTGTTACAAGTATCCAACAAATTACAACGCATTTAAAGTTAAACAATAGCGTTGGCTTATAGAATTGTCAATAAATGCACAATCACAAATTACGCGGATGAATATGATTTTATCAATGAAAATACTATTTTTAGCCATGTAGATTACCGAATACTACACAAACCGAGTAGTGGAATATATAGATTCTACATGTCGGACTGTTTGGGCGAGAGGATTTTCGCTAAAATATTTACTTCAATTTTTAAACAACAGGTTTACCCTGAACAAAATACCTCGAAATTAATAAGGATTACCAGGTACGTATATTAACGTACCTGGGATTACAAACCTGAATGCAATGGAAGTTCTAAATTTAGAATGACTTGATATTATTCAGACATTCTGTGTATAACTTCTCCGTGGTACAGTGGTAACGCGCTCGCTTTGTGAGTGAGAGGTCTCGAGTTCGAATCCCAGTCAAGGAAATTTTTTTTTTTGTTAAATTCTTTTTTTAATTGTTTTTGTTAAGGAAGTAGCCATGATTTACAATGATAAAGTGTGGCTGTGTCGTAAAAAAAGTACATAAATGATTTTTTGATGCAACTCTAGTTATGCAGAATTCCGTATGTGCCTTACAAAATGAATTATGAATACATAAAAATAAACTTATACAGGAAAATGCATACAGATATACAGTACGATTTAGATTGCAAAGATCAGAAAATACCAAAGAACTTGAAGCCCTTTGATTCTTTATAAATATACATGCTTATAGTAAGCTTCAGGATTATTTAGGACATCTGTGGTTAAACGCAAACAGTTAAATGAGCTATCGTTACAAGCCCTATATTTAGAATATATGGTTTTCTCTTAGCAGGCCTCGTTTCATCAATATAACGGTAACTCTCGGTGGCTGAAGGGTTTTCAGTGGCTCTGCTTTAGGAACGAGAGGAGTCTGGGAGTTCAAATCCGCAGTAAAGGTAACTCATTTTTTTAAATTTGATTATAGAGGTCCAAATGAAACATTTTGCGATTGAATATCGAGTGTTTGCAATTAGTCTTATGAGCCAATTTTTACTCACACAATTAAAAACGACTGGAAAGAAACATTGGGTGGGGCCACTCATAACATATCTATGCTCAACAACACTACGCACTCTTGGGTTCTTTACATTCTGAGATTACTCGACAACAAATCAAGCGCCTTCTGTGCTTGTGATTTTATTGATTGTAGCGAATGTAGCGATTTTCATAGCAACTGGCTCCATTATGCTCCACAAAATATTTTGAAGTCATACCAAGATCGGAATGAAAATCTGATCGGGCAGTCACGTATTTTCTCACATACGCCGCGAATCCTTATATGTCCAATCATTTAATGCCAGGCTTAATCATACATTAAAATGAATTAATTATTTATATAATATATATATAATTTTATTGCGCCTCTGGCTAACACGCGATGTAGTTAATGACGTAATAGGTTAAATGAAAAGAATTGTATTAGTTGTTACGTCAGAGATTTATCCAGCTCATGATTTTGGGTTTGTCATTGCAAACTGTCTGCTGAAGAAAAGTATAAGTAGTGTACAAAAGAGGAACACCAACGCTAAGCATTGTATCCTATTTGCTCAACGTTAAGCGCATGACTATTTCCCTGACCATCTTCTAAAATTACAGGGAACAGATAACCCTCTACTAAATACAATTTAATTTCTCTATTTTCAAAATAACTTCCTTGTTTACTCACCAAGAACAGTAAGAAAGCTTGAGA